CCCGCCCACTTCGGCGAACCCCGTCACGCGCTTCGTGGCCTCACAGGGAGCTCCACCGATGGCACCAGCGCCACTGTCCACATGCGCCCCCGCCCCACCCACTTCGGCACACCCCTCACACGCCCCGTGGCCCAATGGGGAACTCCACCGAATGCCACAGCGCAACCGTCCACATGCGTCCCCCCCCACTTCGGCACACCTTTCCCACGTGGCATGGCTCCATGGAGAGCTCCACCGAAGGCCCCAGTGCCGCCGTCCACATGCGCCCCCCCCGCCCACTTCGGCGCACCCCTCACGCGCTTCGTGGCCCCATAGGGAGCTCCACCGAAGGCCACAGCGCCACCGTCTGCATGCGTCCCCCCGCCCACTTCGGCACGCCACTCGCGCGTTTCGTGGCCCCGTAGGGAGCTCCACCAAATGCCCCAGTGCCACCGGCCACATGCGACCCCCCCATTTCGGCACACCCCTTACACGCTTCGTGGCCCCACGGGGGGCTCCACCGAAGGCCACAGTGCCACCGTCCACATGCGTCCCCCCCACCCACTTCGGCACACCCTTCACACGCCTCGCGGCCCCATAGGGAGCCCAACCGAAGGCCCCAGCGTCACCGTCCACATGGTTACCCCCCCCCACTTCGGCACACCCCTCACACGCTTCGTGGCCCCACCGGGAGCTCCACCGAAGGCCCCAGCGCATCCGTCCACATGCGTTCCCCCAACCATTTCGGCACACTCATCACGCGGTTCGTGGCCCCATAGGGACCCCCACCGAACATGAGATTCACAATTGTGTTACTGACAACTGCGTCTGGTTGGGTCCTTCGCCAGGCTAATGTGACGCCCCTTGGGGGCGTGGGGGGCATGTGCTTCATCACTGGCGCCCACCATGGAGGGAGAGTGGGGATGGAGGGAAAGGACGAGGACGAGGACATGGAGTTGAGAGGAGGGGGATGAAAACGAGGAGGAAGAATAGGAGGTGGAGGTGGAGGAGGAGGAGGAGGAGGAGGAGGAGGAGGA